TGTTTTCTCTTATTTGTTGTTTTTATAAAAATGGAGAGCCAGGTGTGGCAGTGTTTTGTTTTGTTCTGTTCTGTTTTGTGGAACCAGGGATTAGAACTAGGACCCTTGCACTTGCCAGGGAAGCACTTATTCCACTGAGCCATCTCCCTGGCCCCGCAGTGTCTTCTTATAACGCCAGCTATTCTAGAGGCTAATACAAGAGGATCACTGGAGCCCAAGGCTCTGAGACTTCCTTGGGCAACATAGCAAGTTTTTTGTTTTTTTTTTCAACATAGCAAGTTTAAAAAAAAAAATTACTGTTAAGCTGGGTGTGGTGGCATATGCCCATAGTTCCAGCACTCACCGTCTACTCACTCAGGCTCAGTTAGGAGGATTGCTGTGAGTTTGAGGCCAGCATGGGCTACAAAGTGATTTCAAGCCATCCTGAACTGCACAGTGAAAGCTTGTCTCAAAAAGACAAAAAAAAAAAAAAAGTACTAGTTTTGTTTTGTTTTGTTTTGGGGTTTTTTTGGCAAAACTAGGGATTGAACTCAGGCCCTTGCACTTGCCAGGCAAGCGCTTATTCTATTGAGCTATTTCCCCAGCCTCTAAAGTACTGTTATTGGGCCTGTCTGTGTATTTGTTTTTACTATCATGACATTTTCTGTGCATCTCTAATGTCTGATATTTGCTCTCGTACCCATCCCCCAGGTTCACAATCTATATAGTTGCATAAAAGTAGCAGAAGATTTTGTGTCTCCAGAACATGTGAAGCACTGTTTCCGCCTGACTCAGGAATTCAGGCATCTCTCCAACACTCATACAAATCATGAGGATAAACTGCAGGTAAATCTCTCCTCTACCTGTGCTGTCTTTTTTTACCTGCTCACGTTCATAGAAGCTGATTTCCTGGCCCAGGTATCCTCTGGGGGTTTCCGTGCAAGAGAATTGACTTAGGGAGACTGGGTCTGGGTCTTTAGAGTTGTTCTTTCAGGAACATCTGAGCTGATCCATCCTCTTGGATTCCCTTTCAACGCTACCATCCTTTAGCCAAATCATGTCCAGTGTGATGTACACACACTGTTCTCTGCCCTTGGGAACTGTAATCAGTCTGTCTGTATACCTACCCATCTACTTTCCTAGTTTATATTTGTTTGAGACAGTCTTCCTATGTAGCCCAGGCTGACTTTGAACTCCTGGTAATCCTCCTGTCTCAGCCTCCCTAGTGTGGCATTACAAGTGTGCAGCACCATGCTCCACAAGGGAACTGTGGTGTTTTAGCATTAGGAACTGACTAGATTTACCTCTCTGCACAAATGGGAAAGCAATATGGCAGTGTGTTATAAGTACATTTACAAAAAGGGGTGTGGCCCTGAAGCTGTTGTTAGAGCAGCTTTCTATGCAGACTCAATTCTTTTTTTTTTTTTTTTTTTTTTCTTGTGGAACCGGGGATTGAACTCAGGCTCTTGCACTTGCCAGGAAAGCACTTATTGTACTGCAGACTCAATTCTTGAGAGTCCTAGGGACTATGGTCTGTGTCCCTGAGACCTGTAGTCAAAACGGTGAAAATTATTTTCCCCTGTGAAGGCAGCCTGGACGTTCAGATTAGGTTTCTTCTGATCTTGCAATGGATTAGAATTGTAAGGACAGAATGCTACTATACACTTGGGTACTTGAGCAGTATATAAGAATAAGGAGGAGCCAGGTATGGTGGCACATGCCTATACTTCCAGCACTCAGGAGGCTGAGGCAGGAGAATCATTACAAGTTCAAGACCAGCCTGGGCTACAAAGTGAGCTCAAGGCCAGCCTGAAGTACATAACCAGGGCCAGGGAGATGGCTCAGTGGAATAAGTGGCAAGCACAGGGGCCTGAGTTCAATCCCCGGTTCCACAAAAAAAAAAGATGAAGTACAGAGCCAGATCCTGTCTCAAAAAGACCAAAAATAAAAAATAAAAATAAATTTTAAAAAGAATAAAGAGGGGCTGGTGAGATGGCTCAGTGGTCTAAAGCACCTACTTAGAACAAGCTTAGCAAAGCACAGGGACCGC